AAAAAAGAATGAAATTTACACATAAACGTGTGCGAGTGTGTCCACTTCAAGTAGGCTTATAATTATTATAACCCAAGGTAAAAGTTTACTAGTAATTTTTCAACTTGTATTATAATTATATTACTTTTGCTTTCAACACAAACTTTATCTGTATTCTAGTATTTAGTATATTAAAAACAACCCTACGTGTTCTAATTAAACAGAAATGCACAGTAGTTAAGTTCATTCATACTGCTTATTAACCCAAAGCTCACAACAACACACTAGTTGATCTGTAAGATAAAAAATAAGAATGAAACCAGATACAAAAACTAAGCTCGATATGCACCTCATAAGGAAGATTACACTGACAATAATTTTTATAGCTAATGCTCAGAATTTCATTTAAAAACAAAAAATATTACATTTCTGGAATATCACAAAAAGACCAAACAGAATGAAGAAATGAATGATTTACAACAAAAATCAATCAATTACTGCTAAAATAGACAAAAAAACTGAAAAAAACAAAAACAATATTATTACAACTTACAATCAACATTAAAATCAGAAGAACAAAAAAATAAGACAAATTTTGTTAAAAAAAAGTTAATGTTTGTTAATTAACAGACTAAGTTGGATTAAACATTCTGACGTTTCCAACAGTACTGTGGTGAACAAACATTACTTCTGAGGATATGTAAAGGTGAGTGCAAGACTTTGAAAGTATGAAATTAGTTTTGACTAAAACTGACAGGTGGTATTTTAGTCATTTAGAAATAGACAACTTTACAATCCATATATAAGTCAATTTAAGCTAGCAATAAAATACAAACATATGACATAGATATTTGAGGCAAAATAATTTTACAGTTTTACATAATTTTTTTTAAAAAGCTTAATTTTAAAAAAATACTTTATGGCTTATATAAAGTCAGATAAATGTTTCTTTGAAACACTCTATCCTAAGTTGAAAAATAAACCTGTAATTACCTTAAAATGTGAAGGATTTAGAAATTTTGAATGTTTTTAAAAACTGTGCAGCAATAATAATAATAATAATAATAAATAAATAAATAAGTAAATAAAAAAAAAAAAAAAAAGAAGGAAAGAAGAAGATAGTTATGTAACATACTTGGTAATTTACAGGTATATTGAATTTTGACAACAGTCCCAATTACTATGGAGTTTTAACACGCTCATTTGACAAAGGAGCTGAAGTATTCTTAAAATAACCTTAATACATAAGCATTTTTTATTATAATGACACTCATTAATCAGAGAAAAAGTGACATGATCTCATCATCATGTATAACAATTATATATTTCATACTGTTATTCAAGTAGCATGGTGTAATGGAAAAGAAATGTACTACTACACATTTGTCTTGACCTCTGGTGGATGTTTTTGCATTTTTTTAAGAGATTCAAATAAATACTGCATATTTAATTAACTTTCATGTGATTTAAAATGCAAATTATTGGTATTTCAGCCTATTCTATTTAATGAATATTTGGTAGATGTGGCCTTAAGTCTTCATTATATTTAACTTCAGTATGAAATATGGTCACCGCAAATAGAATAGTTGGCCTAGCAACAATGTTTTATGCTTCAAGCATGTGTTTGTAATGTTCTGAAGTATCTTCAAAGAGCTCCACCATACATGCTCAATGGAATTGATATCCAGTGCAGGCAACTCCAAAGAGTCAACCCCTTCTTCATGTTTCAACCAGTATAGCACAATAGGAACAGTCATTTTCATCCAATTGGATGAAATCAAAGCAATTACAGTGATACATGGTGATAATGAGTTGTAGGATGTGATCCTTACAATGCATGTTATTAACAGCTCCGGATTAAAAGTCAGTTAACAACCTAGATTAGAGCTAAAAAGTAACTTAATTTAACAAAACTTCACTCTATATACCAAACCAAACAAGAAATATATCACATCATAAATCAGTACACAAGTAAACTAAAACCTGTAGCATTTGGAATGCATTAAACCATCACTTGGGTATATTCACGATTAATATCTTTAGCTATCTTGGTAGATTTAAAATACCCCCAAGATCCATATATATTACACAAGCAATTTTCATAATTAGAAAAACTAAAACTAAAATAATGATATTCAATTTTATTTAACATGACAATGAGTATTAAAGAAAATGGAGAATGCCATTAATTACAAAAACATTATTCGTCTAAAAGATCTTTAATATTACAACAATTATGGAAAAGTGGGTTCTTCAAGAATACCCTTTCCTACATACTTACATTTTTTTTCTATCAATGAATAAACCTTCATTTTGTGCTTACAGTGAAAAATGTTCAACACAATTATATATGTTTTAAAGATACAAAACTGCCACAGAAGAATGATCTAAAACCCTTTCAACATTAATGAAGCAATTATCAATAACAAAAGTAAGCTACTAATTTAGAACAGGATTATAAATGAATAGAGCAAATTCTATATAACACACTCACTAAAAAGTATATCATAAATCAATAGACCAGAAAAGTAAAATCTTTCTTGAAGAGTATAAATCGAATCTTCAGCTGGATACCCTTATCACTGTGATACGTAATGTCTCGTACATCTAACTATGGTGATACATTCTACTCACTGGTACAATATGCAGCTGCAATTGTAAACATTTGATTCAGTCTTGGATCAGGTACCATACAATTACAGTTAGTGACACATAGCACTCATCTGCTTATGTTGTGTATGACGGTCTGCCTCGTCTAGATATCCGAGCAACCGTACAATTGGTTTAGAAGTTATTCCACACTGTACTAACGAACCTTTGAAGTACTTGTATCCAATTTGTAACAGCCTGCTGTAACTGGCCAGATTGTTTTCTACAAGTGAAACATCTAAATGTTTTCTACAAGGTTTAGCCATGGTTCATGAACAGCTTGAAGCACTCTAAATTTTATGGTTCATTTCAAAGAAACAAGTGAAGAAAGTGTGAGATCACTACATGTATTATATTGGCCCAAAGATTAATCATTTGCATTTTAGATCAGATTATTTCATAAGTGTTTTGACCTAATAATAGCTTTAATCTTACAGATTTGGTTTTCATTGGGTTATTGCAATGTTTAAAAGAAGTACCTGTAAGTAAAAGAAAGTTGCATTATGATCATCTGAAATCAACCATAAACCACTGCATTAAAGAGATACCTTTCAAGACACAAACATCTTACTTTTGTGCTTTGAATAAAGTTTAAAAAAAATCCACTTCTTTCAGTTATTCTGAGTCATATGAACATGGACATAAACACAAACCTTGAAAGCTATCCAGTGATAATATTCCAAGCGAAGAATGATCTTCTCCACTATCAAACGTTCCTCCAGAATCCTTGGAATAATTTAAGGTATTACTATCTGAGGTTTCATGTTCATCTACAAAGCGTTTAGTTATTCCTTCAGTTGTTCTATTGTTCTCACGTTTAGCTCGCATGGAATTTAACAAAGATGAAAATGCATCTGATGTATCCGAGGTTGGGAACAGTTCTTTTAGCACACCTGACAAATTCTGTGTCTTCAAAAACCCTTCCAACCTAGAAATAAAAACAAATTGAATGGATGAAAAACCATTTAGACAAAATTTATTGAAATAAAAGAAAATAACTTTTGTATGTCTATAGTAAAATTTAAGAAAAATCTCTTGTTAAAATTATTCAAATTCAGTATAAAATGGGGGTCGGAGACCTCTCTGGGGATACACAAGAACATATAAAAAAATGAAAAATTAAAATAAATTCAATAAAAAAAATAAAATAAATATAAAAATCATACTTTCCTTTACTAATATCTATACTATAATAATTAATTTATATTAAATTACATACTTCAGAAAGGGGTGGTAAAAAAAAATTATAGAAGGCAGGAGTAACCTAGAGAACAAATGTCACAATTCTCATACTAGGGGTGATTGAAGTTTTATTTAAATACTTCCTTATAAAATTAAGAAATTGAAACTTAGATAATGTTAAGATTTGATTTAAATGCCAAGTTTATTCACAAATATTAATAATAAAGCAGTTTAATTAAATTTTTTAATGTAATTCTGTAACAGGACACTTTGAACTAACCATAGTAAGAGGATTAATGCTTTCGAAATTGATGAATTGACTTAAGCACTCTTAGAGCACTTCCTCATGGTTATTAATACTGCCTAAAGATATTGAGGAATTAACTTACCCAGCTTTAGAGCACTCCCTAATGGCTGTAGATGCTGCCTGTGGAGATTGAGGAATTGAAGAGAGTGAGGTATTGTCTAAGAAATCACCATTTTTGCTTGAAAGCTTTGAACCTATCCCAGCCATGACTCTGAATAAATACAAGTTATTCACAGGAGTTAATGTGGTTTTGTAATAAATTACTGAAAACTTAATTCTCAGATGATTCATTCTAGAGGTCACAGTTGATTCCATTTAAAGACTTTGCTATACAACAATAAATAAATCACAATTTCCCAAGCCTTTTCTCATTAAAATAGGGATTAAACTAGCAACATTTTAATAGTCATAAATTATGCAAGTATAAAACATAAAAGTTTGTCTCAACCATCTCCTTTTCTATAATACTTTAGCTAAAGAATCATCTTCATCAGTATAAATTCTAGTAAAAAGAACATGGAAAATAAGTTTTGAAGAGAAAAATAAAAGTTAACATTTTTCTAAACTGAAAATGCATTTCCAAAAAGATACTTACCTCCTCTCACAAAATAACTTATCTCAATTCGTACTGCTCTCTATCGGTGCAAATATTCAACACTCACCACCAGTCTTGCACCTCCTGCTTCTGCATATCCACATGTAATTGGTTATGCAGCAGCTCTCCACCAATAGGAGCAAGACACAACCCCTATCATAACCAGTGCCCTCTCCATATTTTCATTTGTTAATCACCTCGAGATTGGTCAAAAGACCCACACCATATATCACTGGAAGTAGGAAGGCTGGGTTAGAAATGGGGAAGAGTGAAATATCTACCAGAAATACATTTTCAGTTTAGGAAAATGTTAACTTCTGATACAGTATCTTACCTCCACTCACAAAATAGCTACACTGAACTAGTGGAGGGCCAGTGAAAAGTGTCAAAAAAGAGACCATGAGGTATGGTACCAAAAAAAGAAACTATAGCCCCTCAGCATAAGACTGCACCACATCTGATCAGGTATAACTCTTTTCTCTTTTACGACTGTGTCGTGAACATGAAAGAATCCCATAATACATGACAAGGGCACAACAGAACATAGTGGTAGTTCAACCTCATCCAACACCTGGCGGTATCTGGAATTGTACATCAGTTCTGCAATTTGCAGAGGATCACCTACCTCTTCACCTCAAAATGGGAATTGGTAGGGAAGACAAGCTTCTGTACTAAAATCAGTCTCCACTTGAGTGCACCAACCAAAACCTGAACCACCATGAACCAACATCCAGCAGATGGTTGGAAGGTGAGAAACCCTGGTGGATAACATCTCTGGTCCAAAACTTGGTGGTATTTGGTATGGTTCTTCCCGTCTTTGGTAGGAGGAGGATACCTGGCTGTACACAAGTGGGAATACATGTACTGTGTCCAGGTATAACAAACAGGTCCACCAAGAACCAACATCCAGCAGATGGTAGGAAGAAAGACCACAAACCTGGGATGCATCTTCAGTCCAAAACCTGGCAGCATTAGACATTTTTCATCCAGTCCATGGAAGGAGGAGGGATACCAGCCAAAACACATGAGGACTTACTGAGCTAGACCATCTCCAACCAGCACCTGACCCCCAGGAACTGCATCCAAAGAATGGTAGGTAGGAAGAACGTCTCATAATTCTAATCGTGACGGGGCCATCTCGAATAAATACCAGACCCACGAAGAATGTACATCCAGAAGATGGAAGGAAGGAAGAATGTCACAGTGGGAAACCAATAAACCTTTAATATGAACTAATAAATTTACAAAATCAAACTCAGAATTTTTATCGTTAACCATCATATTTGAAAAATGACCCCCCTTTCATTTACACATGTATAGGCCTAAGGCTAATGTTAGATGACATGATCAATAGAGTCTAGGATATATGGAAGGCCTAGCTACAATTAGAAAAGCAGGAAAATCCATGAATTAAACCCAGCATAATAATGATAACTGCAAACAAAATTTTATGAAAGTTTTGATCAGTACAAAACAGAACAATAAATAAAGTAAGGCTAGCTTTGCCTCTTTCCAGGGCAGTACAAACTACACGTATGAATAACAATACATATCAACAGCATGTGTGTGTGTACGTGTGCAGCTCTCAGGCATTGTGTACGTATTATATAGTATAATGGTATGTGTGAGACTTCCTATGCAAGTCCAGGCTGTACTTGGTAGGCAGACCAAGTTGCTTAGAAATAAAACGCTGAACGTGACTGACCAAAATCACTGTTCAGTTTAAAAGTTTTACAGGTCATTGACTGTTTGTTTCCTTAAGATACTACATAATATTTTTATGGTTTGGGCTTATTTGTTTTCAATGGAACGAACCTTCCAGTATACAAGATGTCAAAAATTAGTTGAAAAAGATGCAAAATTATTAATTAATATTAACTGTACTTTTTGCAAACAAATAAGATATCAAAATTCTTGTAACCGTGTCTTTTTTAGGGTCTTTATACATCAATATTGTCATAATTGGATCATTTTCAGGGTCTATATTTTTTAGACAACCTGGAAATTTCCTTAAAATCGTGCCCTGATAAGGTGTAGTGATGAGAAGTAACACAGGAGGAGGGGAAGAAAATTAAAAAGGCACAAAATTAGGCACTAAAAAGGAAAATAAAAGCTGCCCAATTCACAACATATAATTTTTGAAATTTATAACCAAAATATCATTATTTCTTATCTTCATATGCAGCAAAACATTGAACCTAATAGAGCAATGATCACTTGCACCCAGATGTTCCCCAATAAATCTAAAATAGTATTGTTTCTAGTAGGTTCCTTGACTGATTGGTGAAGAAAGCCATCTTGAACAGTTTCCAAAAAAGTTTCTCCCTCATGGTTTGACTCTAGCATTTCCCAATCTATATGCCTGAAATTAAAATCACCCATAATTATGACTTTAAAATTTCAGTTATTAATAATCTCATTGTAAAGTTTCTCTCTAATTTCATCAGTATCATCTGGTGTTCTGTAACAAATTCCCACTAAAAGCCTTTTCCCTTTACATCTGCTAATAGAAAACCAAATGGATTCAATCTCCTTGCTATTCTCTTTGATATCTTCAAGTTCAACATGATGTAACTCACATTTTACATATAAAGCCACTCCCCTCTTCTCTTTAATACTTATCCTTATTACATAACCTATAATTCTGTATTTCAAATAAATTTGTCATCAAGCTCATCTACACTTAACCATGCTTCAGTTATTCCCATTGTATCAAAATCCTCCATTTCTACCAGTGCTATTTTATTTCTTATAATTCTAGCATTACAATAGTAACAATTAAGCCTATCCTTATGACTACTTCTATACTCATTTCCTATGCTAAACTTTTCTCTGCCTCTTATTCTTTTTGAATTTAGTTTATCCTGGCCCTCACCACTGTCTAGTCCTAGCTTAAGACTTCCTTTAATAGCCGAGTTAATAGTCCTAGCATACAAGCCAGCCCCTATCCTATTTAAATGTAAACCATCCATTCCAAATACAGAAGTTATAATGACACAGCTCACTTGCACTATATTACCATATCAAATAACATAAAACTGACCTTTGGTCTATACAAAGTAACTTGTCTTGGCTGTGTTTTATTCAACCAGTATTTTGTAAAATACAGTCACATATCAATTATTATACATTACATATGTATATAGATTATTGCTATTTTGAAATAAGTTCTTAAAAGATAGAACAGTAACTAAAGAAGTAAAGCAAACAATTATCTTTTCTAGTTACAACCTTTGTACTTGGTTGCTAAGCCTTTAAAAAAATTTGCACATGGATGATATGAAACAATTTTTTTAGGTTTTATATATACATTTGAATAACTAAAAAATCATAAATTACTACACTAATACCATAGAACTCCACTATAATTTATCAAGCTTGGTAACTAAGATGTAATTTACTCTAAAAAAATATGAAATTTCGAGCAGACTAAAGACACACCCTATCTCGTTGAAATAGTTCAAAATGAAATAAATGGCACCGAGCCCATTAAAATGGCGGAGAAAGCCACTAGGGGGATATTCTGAGCTTCCAATTGGTCATTCATGTCATATATAGAAGTGTATATAAGGAAGCGTTTCCAAAAATGGAAAGAGGTTGGCAGGGTGCCACTGTGTTTGATTTATTACATGAGCAATATCGTAGCAAATTGAGAAGATAAGAGGCTCTTATTTTAAATTCTAGCTTGTCAATATTGGTAATTTGCGTTTCTGATTCAAACGAAACTATAGACTTAGTATTTTGACTTCACAAGCACCTAATTTGAACCAGTGCTGTATTCAACATACCACGTAACACACAAAAATCAATGTTTATCTGCGTTTCTTTAATATTTGCTTTTAAATTAAGAAATTGAGTAATATATAGTACTAAAATTTGAATTATAATATACAGATTGATACCAAAGTTATTGACATAAATTCATTAAATAGTAGTTCAAAAAAATTTAGAATGCGAGTCAACAAATGAGATGACATGGCCTTTCATCTGTGACTTGTCTCGAAATGGTTAAGTTATTGTCTTTTTCTTTTGCAGCCCCCTATATTATACCTCCTGCTCTGTCAGTTATATCCTCACCTGTGCTCCTGGGTAGCATAATCTAATTCTTTACTCCCTCTATACTAATCACATGCATTGTCAAGGAAACCCCTGTAACTATAATCTCCTTATCATCCACATCCTTCTCTGACTCTTTTGTTTTCATTTCTTTCAATAGTTCCTTATCTGCACAAGTCAATCCACTGCTTTTAGCCCAATTAGTAATATTTCTAACTTCCTGATGCATCCCTTACATGAAAAAGCTTAAGCTTATCTTGAAATCCTGCTACCATTTCACACAGCTTACCCTTTTCTTTATCTACTGCCTCTACTTGTTAGGATAGCCTCCAACTTCTCCTTCAACATACAAACTCTATATATAAATTGCACATCTTCCATATGTGAAAGTGAGGTATCTTCTGGGAACCAGTTATTTGGTATAATAACCGGTAATATTTATTTAGAATACACATCAAAATTACATCATTATATGAAGCACTGGCTATTGTTGTAGGAAGGCTAGAGACAAATAATATATTTTTCATATAATTTACATTAAATGAAGTAACATTCAATACATTGCAGTTAAGATACGGAAAAAATCTGAAGTTTGCATAATATATAAGAAATCAATCTTTTTAATTTTTGATAGTTTCATAACTGCTTGCATTTCATTACAGCAACCTTTGTTGCATTTGAAACTCAGCTTGCACAAAAAAGTATAATAAGATTCTCAATGAATTATATCACATGACTTCTTACACTAATATAATACTATTTCATCATTCTTTGAAAGAATAAGAATACATTTGGGTGAACAACGTATTTTGTGTATTGGTACAGTTTGTCATATTTACCTCATTAATATGGACAAATACTCCCAGAAACATAAAAGTTTGAATAGTGTAAGATAACAGAAACATTTGAATAGTGTAAGACTGATTAATAAGTACAACCAGTTTAAGAACTGTATATATATGAATATTCACAATATGATGAGCAGTTGACAAACCTATCACATGCCTCTAGCAGATTGTGTTAATACTACATTTTTGACCAGTTAAATGTCCAACCCTGTCCTCATCGTACTTAAAGAAATACTTACTGTTAATTTTTACACTTTCAGTCAATTTTTTTTGTATTCCCTTTTTGACTGTCTAATGTCCTGTCCTGTTTGATTAACTCTTTTGATCTCCTACAATCCTCTAAGTCTTCTGTTACAACAGTCATCTTAAAGTTATGCTTTTCTTTAATATTGTACTTCTTTAGTTGCAGCTACCTTTTTTCCTTTTGGAACTTGTAATATCTCTCTTGAATATTTCAAAATTTGTTTTGAAATTTTCCATATCTGATCAGTATCTCCATTTAATTCAATTGTACAATTCACAACCAAGTCTTGTCTTATCCCTTCAAAACTTGTTTTGAAATTTGTAATCAAATTATTATTATTCATCTCCACAAACAGGAAAACATAAGTTTCTAAGGAATTATGAGTGGAAGCAAAGACAAATGTTATAATTAATCAGCCACACACTACATTAACCATATCCAATGATGAGTTGGTCTTTTGCCCAATACCTAGGCTCGCCATGCTGGCCAGGACACGACACACTTAGTAGTGTTCTAAACACTACTTATATTTTAAATTTTCATGAATAATTGCTGTTATTATATTATTTATTTTTGCAACACTAATTATTTGTTATTATTAGTTGAATTTACTTTACTATTATTCAAATGAACTATTGAACCAGCAAGCTATTCTTTTTGTTACCAGAACAGGTCTACCAACCACAAAGTTAACAGGAGAAAACTAAATTAGCAATTCTAAGAAATTACAAGTGAAAGAAAAGACTAATATGTCAACCACATTATTAGTAATACATTCACCATAACCAATGCTGATAAGACCCCTTGCCCAACACCAGAGCTCACTAGTCCAAGCGAGACATGAGGGATATAATAATGGTCTAGGTGCTATTTTTATCATCAATACTTAATTGAACACTGATCACTTGCAGTTGCACCCTGATGTTCTGCAATCTTATTTAGTCATTTACTCTCTCGGCTATTTTCTTATTACCATTTCAAATTAGCAAGATATTTAAAAGTAAAATAACATCGTTTCTAATTCTAGTACCACTACTAGTAGTAGTAGGTTCCCTGGCCAATTCATGAAGAAAATCATCCTGAACGGTTCCTATCATCTTCATGCTTTAAGTTTAACTCTTAAAATCTCCCTAACTATATCACTGCATATGCCCGGAAAATAAAATCCCAGTTGTTTGGGAATCAAAGGTTTGATTTACTCACGCTATCTATCAGTATCACACCAATATCTCTGAGGGAATATCTAAATCACAAAGACATGTAAACTTAGTCTGAATATTAAAACAACTACAAAAACACTTGTGTAATTCAAAACATACCCTGTTACGTAATTCGTTAGGCTTAACAATATATAACTTTCGAACTTTAAAGTTTAAGCCTTACGGTTAACGTTAATTAGGCTTCACTAAGACTAGAGTATGACTTAACTAAACGTAAAATTTACAAAGTACATATATTATTACATCGTACTGCTTTGAATTTGAGTCTGAAGGGTTCACATATTTTCTTTAACATTGAAACAATAAAAAACATAATTAGAACTTCTAATAATCTAAAGTAGTAATATAATTTAATGGTTTTAATATAAAACATACGCACCATATCTTTTTACAGTAGCATACAAGAGTTGTATTCGGCTGCAACAACCCACTTAAATTATTCTAAATACCAATCACAAAAACTACCGAATTATGGTAACTATATTTGAATATTGTGTATCGGCATTCGCGCTTTACTTACATAGCGTCATCTAACGGCTTAATTTTATTTCACACCGTAAAATACTTAGCTAACATAGAAACGAACAAGACTAACTGGAAGAAATCTCCAAGCTTCGCAGTTGCAGCTAAATATTTACAATATTTTCTAAACTGAACTGCAAATTAATAAAAAGAATGTTATGTATCCATGTATCCAAAAAAGACCCCCTCAGAATTATCTACGTGAAACTAATGAGTCGAATCTCCAAATTATATATGACTAGCGGATGCCCATTGAAACAATTCAGCGGTAATTTTCTTAAGAATAGTGAAGAATATATATATAAAATGTGCAGTAAACTCAATACCTTGAATCAGAGCGAATATGCAATATGATTGTCTAGTGGGCCGTTTGCAACCGTCTTTTGTCATTTCATGTGTTATTTCAATAAATAAAATTGCATTGCGTTTGTTTTTAAACAAAGGAGACTGACAACAATACATTGTTGGCACAAATATTTGATTTTCAATACAATGAGTGCATCTGGCATAATAGAGCGCTCAGGTTCGTGGAGATTTTCTCTCTAGATGTTACCCTTCCTTATCATTTCACCGAGCGCAAGAAAAGCCCATTACTGAAGTGAGCCCTTTTTGACAGTTGTCATTTCGATAAAAAGTGCCAAAGGGGAGATTCATTTCAACTCAATTCAATTTACTAGACATAGTACAATAAAACCATGCATGTATATAATACCAAGATGAAAAAAACAAAAAAGAAACACAGACACAGACACACACACATATATATATAAACCGAACAACAACAAATATATACTCAAACACATTTTTTCAGTTCATGCTTCTATCTTCGAAGTAATTCTTTAAAACAATCAATGGAGAAAGTCCAGTTTTGTCCTAAACTTCCTCACAAAAATAAACCTTTTGTACGTAATTAATACGTTTTCTTTTCTCAGATTAACCGTTCAGCACAAACGAAAACTGATGGATCGATGTTAATCAGTTAGGGAGTGCAAAAATGAATAATGTTCCTGTAATGTACTTTGAAAAGAAGCAATTTGATCTATATGTATATCTATTTACTTACGGTTAACAGTTCAGGAGGTACAGAGCGTGACAGACAGAAAGACATTTAGCTATTATATACAGAGCTTCTAAATGAAGTTAGTCAAAATATAATGACAATATTAACAATGGCGCTTGTATAAGAATTATCCAGTTAGAAGTCCAGTTAGTACCAGTAGAATAATTTTTTTGGTAATATCAATGTTGTTGTGGTATAAGCAAAAAGCAGGAACTAGAATAAATAAATAAATAAAACTTAAAGCGCATTCTATTCTGAATTACGGTCCCATAAATATTTTTACAATGTGATTCAAACTACTCAGGTTTTCTAAAGCACCAGCTCTGTTACTTATTTAAAAAAAATAAAAACATTAATACGTAATTTAGTTAATTAAAGCCACCCATTATTAGGCTTTCTGTAACGATTATTGTTTTTTCCAAAACTGTTGACATATTTCTTCATGACTAAAGTATGCTTTTATCAGGCAGAACAAAGTTTTATCGTGTTTCTTCTTTCCTTGGCGTGTGATTTAAGAGCTCTCTGGTTTTAAATACATTACAAATGCAGTATGTTTTATATGATAAATACCATTGCGCTTACAAATCATTGTTTGTTAATTTACTACTTACACAAGTTCAAATTAGTGTCGTATTTTAACGGTTCCCTAAAAAACTTAAAATTATGATGATAAAGAAGCTGCCGTAGTTTTTTTTTTATTTTTCAAAGAGTAAAACGTTTAAAGTAACAACAAAATAAACATTTCATCTTTGGAGGAGAACGTTTACTAACTTATGTATAACTTATGAGATAAGTTTCACCTTTACTACTAAATCATACAAAATGTTACTTAGAAACAAAACTATTATAGTGAAAAAAACACTAAATTGCATATGTTTTCAATAAATTAAAAACACTGGAAAGAAAAATAACAATTGAAGAATATTGCAAGTTATCCATTTCCGCTACTTTTAAAATAATTAGAAAATAGTGCTCCAAGCAAATATTTATCATAAATCTGGTTTTTATTTTGTTTTCATTTTACCTGAAACAGTAAAGTAGAATACAACTTATGCATAAAATTTTATCTCATGCTCAGCTAGCGCCATCTTTTGTAAAACGTAATAACTACAGAAATTAAACTTAATCTTGCTTCAAAGATGATCCATTGTGTACGAGTGTATGTGTTTGCATCCATCACCCAGAACTGGCTGGCTGGGTTACCGTAATTTTTTGTATAGTAATTGGAAACCGTTCGATGGTGTACAAGAACTAATGTGTTTTCAGATTTCAGCACGAAGAGGGGAATAAAACAGCTTGAAATAGGACACATTTCCAGTTTTTATAGACTTTTGGCTTTGAATTTAATGACACAAATAGTTAATCGGTTAAATAAGTGAATTATTACCTTCTACAAAACAGAGTATATAATTAGCATCTAATGAGGTCACTAGGGATTTAATAACAAAAGGAAAACCCTCAGCTAGTAACTAATAAAAACTCGAAAATACTACTATTTTGAAAATGGCCACGTAGAATAATGTTGCATGAATTATCAAGTAATCCATGAACTGTCTCAGAACCACTAATATAGGAAAAAGTAAATACTTTTTTAATAATAATAAAGTAAATATTATTTTTTTGGAGGGGGACAGTTTATCAAAAAAAAGTGTTGTAGTGAATTTTCAAAAACTCCTTGGAATTGTCTTTTTTTTGTTACCACAAATAAAAGTTTCAAACTCGTACTTTACAACTTTAATCCATCATTAGTGAAATAATTCCTACATGGAAAATGAAGTTTTGTTACCCGAAAGGTATCTAATTTAACGAAACATTATTTGATAGATAGCGTCCTATAATTTAAGCTACTAAAGTCAACCTCACCAACTGTTTTTCTTTCCTTTTTTTCGTTCGTATTGTTTTCTTGATTCATCGTGCGCTATGCAGCTAAACAATAAAAGTAATGAAAATACGATTGGAAAGTATCATTAAACATGGTCTGAAAAGCCATGGATCTATCCCTTCTGTTCTACACACACACACACGCCTTTCCATTGAAAATAAAGGGCAACGTTTCTCAGACACACCTAAATAAAATAAAACATTTTATTACGGTCACTAAAAATTTTAATTCAACATAAGTTCTCGCTCTCACTTTTAAATAGTTTGTGCTCTCCCCGTTAAGCATATGAATCTGTTGTAAACACACTGCAACAAAAAGTATATATATATATATATATAGTGGTATTGTTGTATGTATAAATATAACCAAGTTTGGATTAATTGAGTGGATTACAATATGCCAGTACTTAAGTCCTATTGCTGATCAGACAGGCTGAAAACAACTACAAGTTAAACCAGTCTCATAACTCATTAGAAAAAGAATAATTGTTAATTTCAAGTGATTCCTTCTTATACTGTATGTATTAAGATTTTTCTGACAAAGCTAGAAATAAGTAGAAATGCTGCTCTAGACACTGATTAACATCAGGGCCTTGAATAGCTGGGTCGATGACTGATCACTTATAATGATGCAGTTCGATTTATAGTATCGTGTGTGCATATCGTTTTATCTAGTATTTAATCATTCTAAAGAAAACCATAAAGATAAGATGCCTAAACCACATCTATTCCAACGTTAAGTGCAAGACAGGGCGTTAATAAGGTCTCGCATTGTTGAGTTAATTTGATGTAAGTTTATTTGGACTCTGACCTCCTTCAATGAGTAAACACTAGCAATTTCGGCCCGTTAATACATCAGTTTGACGGCTATAAATATGAAATATAAGAAGTTTGGATGGAAAGGAAATATTTATTGCTCAATTAACACAGGATGTAGCCTTTATTTAGAAGGGTCTAAATGCCTTGTTAGTGCTGCGGCACGAGAAAGATAACACATACGTTTGTAGTAGGCATGGTAATCATTGGAACTAAATGGGTGGTCATTTTCTGAGTAAAATCGTTAAGACTCTTGAGTGATTTCATGTTCTAATTGCAAATAAGTTTGTTTTGTTTTTGTCTTCTTTTTTTTCTAACTGGTTGCACACAACTTGATTAATTAAAAGTATTTTTGTCTTAAAATCGAATTACTGAAATTATCAGTGCTTGATCAAGTTTTGTAATAACCTTAGGTGTTCAATTATAAAAATTTCTGTCATTAAAAGTTTAAAGTTTAGTTGCCTTTTCGCGAATTACATTCGAATCGATTTTTCCAACTACACGCCAATGCTAAAACAAGACTAAGTATAATTAGAAAGTGTGTTTATTTTGAAGTGCAAAGCTACACAATAGGTTATCTGTGATCTGATTTTAGATCCTCAACAAGAAAAAGTTGTGTAAAAGCGTCATGTCATATAATTTGAAAGGATTTGGAAGAACTTATCAATGATAGTTATATTTTCGTCAAAGTTCAAAGTGTACCAAGTCATTTTTTTTTCGACCTGTATTATCAAATACTAACACGACATTGATGTTTCAATTACCATTATGAATTTTAATAAATGATGTCCAAGAGTTTCCCCTTTTTATACCATGGTCATGGAACATTTAGCCAAGACATTTCAAGAGTAATGTTTTGTGTATATAGGTTTGTTTGCTTGTCTGTTTATTGAATTTCGCGCACAACTACATGAGAGTTATCTTCGTTAGCCGTTTCTAATTTTGAAGTGATAGGATAGAGGGAATGCAGTTAATCAACACCACCTATCGTCAACTTTTGGGTTACTCTTTTACCAACGAATTACAGGACTGGTCGTCATATTATAATACCCCCACGCAGTGCCGTAGCCAGTCATTTTCGGTACATATCCTTTCAGAACAAATTTAATATTCGGGTCGCTATTCCATCAAAATCAAGTGTTTTCATAACAATAAATACATTTTTAAAGATAATTACTAGGACATAAACGAATTACGGAACAAATCAATGTTCCGCACTTAATTGCAATA